CAACGTCTTTGCTGTCAAAAATGATGTATTCTGGGCTACGCGTCAGAAAGCGAATACCCCCCCCCCTTTCTTAAACTTACGACCCTTCACGCTTGTCATCTCACAATTCTCGACATGGTCACTTTCTGCCATTCCAGCTATCCTAAGGAGTCTCAGCAGGGAGTCTTCCTGCCTGGCTCTTGCATGTGCGTTAAAACTAATTGTTTAACCACCTAAATACATAAACAGGTCTATGTCCATCTACTATTCCTTAATGTAACCTACTATTTTATAAGACTCATAACTAAATAAAAATAAAAAATATATATAAATGGAGGGCGGCATTGGACGATTATAAATAGTAACACTAAATTTTAGCCTGCACATCACTAGTGCGTCCGATTCTTGAATATGGGGCTACGTGCTGGGATCCTTACCAGAAGGGCCAGATAAATGAGCTAGACAGAGCCCAAAATATAACCGTTAAATTTGCGCATCATAGAAATAATTCAAATTGGGAAAACTTGGCAAAGCGCAGAAAGATAGCTCGCAAATGCACTCTCTTCGAAACGTACACGGGAGAACGGGCTTGGTAGGCTATAAGTGATAGATTACAAAGGCCATGCTACCTTAATAGGGTCGATTATGATAGGAAAATTAGGAGCAGAAAGCAAAGGACAGATGTCGGAAAATGTTACTTTGTAAATAGGACCATTGAGCTTTGGAACCTCCTGCCTGGAGATGTTTTAGGGACTCTCCTGTAAATTAAGTACTTTTAGGAAAAGGGCTAGGAAAGCAATAAATAAGGCGAAGTGAAGGTATAGACGAAATCATCCGAAAAGGCAGTTAAGCGAAGTGAAGTGGAAGTGAAGTGAAGTGTGATAAAGGGAAAGTCATGGTGAAATGTGGGTGCATCAGAACATGACATTACACATTCCAGAACTATTACTGTTTAGCGTATAATATACTTATTTTTTAATATTAATTTATATAATTATAGTTGTAATTGTATTTTCATTGTATTTACAGTATGCTAGTGTGTCCTTTGTTGTTTGTTCAGTTTTGTGTGCTGTGTTTTGTTTGAGTGTGGTGTGTTACTTTGTGCGATGTGTGTATTTGTGTGTTGTGTCTTATTGTAGTACCACTACCACCGGGCAAAAATCCATTTGCAGTTTAAATAAATAATAATAATAATAACAATAATAATAGTAACAATTATTGATCATTCAACATACATATTCCATATGCTCCTTCTCTGAATTATTAAATATTTGAAATTTAATTTAATTTTAATCTCTTTTCTCCATTATATTGTATGAAGTGAATACAGAAATAGCAATCAGTAAAGACATTCCCATTGTGTTTCAATTTTGGTTGCCAATTTTGTTGCAAGGTCGATTTATTGATAATAGAATACAATGACTGTTCTGATGCTCACTTATTTCGAAGGTCGTTGTATATATTCGTGTTATTTATTCATTTCTATTTTCACTTCCAACTCTTTACGGAATTCAACACTTAATGATCTTCAAAACTTTTCGTAAAATTGTTACTTATGGCTGGAAATATTACCACATAATCTGTTACTTTAAAACTCACTCCCAGAGTCTCTGTCGTTACTTACGTTGTTGCCATGTAGTCCGTTACTTTCAAGATCATTATCAGGGTCTCTGTCATAACTTACGTTGTTGCCATGTAGTCCGTTACTTTCAAGCTCGCTCCCAGAGTTTCTGTCGTTGCTTACATTGTTGCCGTATGATCTGTTACTTCCTAGCTCACTCTCAGGACCTCTATCGTTACTTACATTGTTGTCCTATATTGTGTTACTTTGAAGGTGACCGTCGGTCGTAACAGAAGGTGATTAAGACTTTCATTTCCGTCCATGTAGCTAAGACTGCGCGGTCAATTTCCTGTCTACACATCGACCTCCAAGATTTAGCCGATATGTCTTTCAAACCGCCAGGCTCCCTCCAAACTACTCGTACATAGTCACACCCCAGAGGGCCACAATCCATAAATGAGCCCTTGCTGCCATTTTAAGACCATTGTTTGAGCCCGAGTAGTTGGAATCACGATTTACACAAGAAGTAAAAAATAAAAATAAATAAATAAATAAATTGCTAGGTCCTTACCGTGTCCATGAGGTCCAAAACTTTTATCATCAAGTATGTCCATACACCTTTTAAGGCCTGAAATAGAAAGAAACTGTGTCACTTGTGATACGTGTGAATGATTTGAGGTCCTGTGATAAATCAGAAATTTGCCTATGCAATTTATTATTATATGAGGCACCATGCTACAAGCCGGAAGGTCTCGGGTTCAAGTCCCGATGAGGTCATTGGATTTTATTCAATTGATCTAATCCTTCCAGCCGCACTATGGACTTGGGGTCGACTCAGCCTCTAACAGAAATGAGTACCAGGAATATTCTTGGGGGTAAAGGGCGGCCGGAGTGTAAGGCTGACAACCTTACCTCCATCTATGAGCCGATTGTTTAGAAAATGTGGGAACCTCAGCATCTCACAACCCTATGGGCCTCCACGGCCTGTTACAGAGATACTTTTACTTTTTTACTTTCTTATTAGTCTTTTGCTCTTAGTAAATAAAATCGACGCATGTATGGAATGTAAATTTCCAAAATATCTGAGCGGTGCCAGTTTATTTTATTACGGCAGGTATGGAAGTTCTCATGATGGAACCTACTGCTCTAGCACAGAAGTCTCTGTAACCTGCCCGTTCAAAGCCAATTTGAAATGTCTTAAGAGTGTCTTCCTGTAGAAAATAGTTCCAAAGTTTAAATACAAATTTGTTTATAGGATCTGTACTTCAGGCTGGCAGTATATATACTTGAAACATTTTGTAAATGTGGTTTCTGCATGGCTAGGTTTATCAACAGCGAATGAACATGCCACAAGAACTAGGCAGTTCAGCTCTAATGTCTGTGCAATTCAACGCACAGTTCCACTGCACTATCATGCTAATGAACAGTCATTCCGAAGCAGCTGTTTCTGTATCATTCGCATGTACATAAACATTGTTTTATTCAATTAAATTATAAGGAATATGAACAGAAGAATTTGGAGAAATCTCGGGACGACATTTAATAGTCCTGGCGAGTAATGCTCGAGAGGCAAGTAGTCAGATATGTAGATGAGAAATCTCGTACCTTGTAAGGACCGCGACTGTTTATTACCGTGTTCTCGACAATCGTTCATTGGACTACAGTCTGATTCTGCTGAAACCGGTCCACTCCTTCAAGCCACTTGCTTACATACTTATGGAGCTGAGCCCTTCTTGAGGAGAAGCCAAATCTGCAGCTACTCAAAGATTTCCCAGCATTTTATGGAACCCGAAGGTTCATTACAGTGTTCACAAGAGCCCTCCACTAGTGCCTATCCTCAACCAGATTAATCCAGTCCATACCAACACATCCTATCTCTCTGAGATCCAATTTAATATTGTCCACACCATCTACGCCTTGGTCTTCCCAGTGGTCTCTTTCCTTCTGGCTTTCCCACCAATATCTTCTCCCCCATTCGTGCTACATGCCCTGCCAAATCTCCTTGACTTGATCATTCTAATTATACTTGGAGAAGAGTACAAGTTATGAAGCTCCTCATTGTGTAGTTTTCTCCAACCTCCTGTCACTTCATCTCTCTTTGGTCAAAATACTCTCCTCAACACCCTGTTCTCAAACACTCTCAGTCTATATTCCTCCCTTAATGTCAGAGACAAAGTTTTACACCCATAGAGAACCACAGGCAAAATTATAGTTTTGTATATTCTAATTTTTATGTTTTTAGACCGCAGACAAAAAGACAAAGTGTTCTGGACTGAATGGTAGCAAGCATTACCCGAGTTCAGTCTCCTCTTAATTACCTCCTGGATCAGGATTTGGTTTGTTATAGTCACTCCTTCAAGCCACTCTTATTTTAAATGAATTTTAATATTAGCTTCCCATTTACTGCTAAGAAAATTCACTTCAAGCGTTTCATTTGATATTTTGAACCCCCTCCTCCCCCTTGTGCTTCTATTTGTACGAGTATATACACTGCTTGTCACGTTGTCTTTGTTTTGACCATCCTCACAACAATCGAATTTGACGAGAGGAAGACGAGTAAAACCTAGGAAAGAAAATATTTTCTTCCCCTTCATACAGCATCATTTGTTATAGATTTCTTTACGTAATTGTTACAAGAGTGTTGCTTACGTAATAGGCGGACGGTGTGCGTGAGTAATCCACAGGTTCACACACCCATTTGTACTTGAAGGCCCAGGCAGCGTCCAGACTCTGTGAACAGAAGGCCTCGTTGTCATGCTTTTGTGCAGAAACGGCGTGCTAAAGCGAATTGAAGTAAAGTTGTGCTCAGTTGAGCACGTGCCGTGTGTCCGTGTGGGAGATGCGGACTTTCTTAACTTCGGTATTATATGGAGCTGAATAATGAGCCTCAGTTCTCGTCTGCTTTTCTCCTGGGTAAAGAGTATTGCCCCCCGTCGCATATGAGGCCGGGTGAAATATAGAACCCCGTGAGCTGCAGAGAACCCGAAACCAGTGGCCGAGTTCTCTCGACTGCTAGAAGCGGTCTCTGTCTCTCTTGGCAGCTATGACAGCTTACACGCAATTTTAGTGAGGCTACTCATACGTTACATTATCGGAATATCCGAGTCTGAAAGGGATGTAATATTCTACAAGAGGGGCAGTACGTTGGGACAGTTCCTGATCACCATCCAGCCTCTACTCAGTTCGCATAATAGACAGTACACATGTGCACACATGTTCTGGAACACGATACATAATAAGTACCTTCTTTCACCGACGAGAAAAAATTTCTCATCTGTGGACACGACAGTCACCATATTTTATCACTGCTAGTGGGGTGGGACTGAGTCCCTTGTACTGCGGCCACTTCTAGCCTATTGTACCAGCCCCTGATGATAGGCGAGGGTGACTGTGAAGCAATTGGTAGAATGAAGATTGGCAGGGGAAACCGAAATACTTGGAGAAAACCTGCCCCAGCGCCATTTTGTCCACCACAAATCACACTTGAGCAGACCCGGGATCGAACCCGGGCCGCCGCGATGGGAAGCCAGCGACTAACCACTTCAGATATGGTGCAGCCGACAGTCACCGTAACTCTGTTATCTGTGGCAGCGAGACCTACAGAAAGTGTTCAGAACACGAATGGGATAGTCTTAAACTGAACGTGTGGTGAGGGCTGACACATGGGAAACCATCGGACTCATTTTCGTTAATGAGAACATAATTACAAGTAATTAATACCTTAACATCTTGGAAATTTATTTACATCTTCAGTTCATATTTTCTGAGACTCTTTGAATGTGAATTTTCCTGATCCATGGATAGAAACAGAAGATCAATTGCGTGCCCCCCTTCCTTGTTCTACTGATCTTACGCGTTTGGACTTTTCTCTTTGAGGTCATGTGAAATGTCAGGTGTACAGTCAATGAGTGGACACGTGGGATGAACTCGAAGCAGGGGTTACTGTAGCAATTGTAAATGTTATATAGGGATATGTTCCGGCACGTTCTGACTGCGGCTCTTAGGTATGCAAAGCTACAGATGCGTTTCGCACTTAACTTTTCTGCAGATGTCTGAAATCTGCATTTTTTCGTAGACCAGTAAATAGTAAGTAAAAGTAAAGGTATCCCTCTAACAGTCCGTGGAGATCCATAGCGATCAAATCCCGATGAGGTCATTGGAAGTTTTTCAATTTACCTAATCCTTCCAGCTGCACTATGGTCTTGGGATAGTCTCAGTCTCTAACAGAAATGAGTACCAGGAATATTCCTGGGGGTAAAGGGCGACCGGTGCGTGAGGCTGACAATCTCACCGCCGTCTGTGAGCAGATTGTCTGGAAAATGTGAGAGCCACAACTTCTCACAAACCTATGGGCCTTCACGGCCTGTTACAGGGATAGCTTTACTTTACTTTTTACAAAATCGCTGACTGCCTAAGACTCGCTCCATTCCTTACTGGACTACGAATGTTTTTTCTTCCACTGTGACTGACTTTGTTCTGATTTACGAATCCATCATTTCTCCTGCTTCCATTGTCCGCCGACTAACACCCCACTGCTGAACAATCAATTTCTGAATTTTCTTACGACCGAATGATTGATTGAACCCTTTGACAGTAACGAACACTCAAATCAATTATGCGTCTCCATTTATTACATAGGGGACAAACCGAATACAGGTCACCATCTCAAACAGTTCTTTTGTTATTTTCTGTTTATCTGTTACTACGAAAATTGTGTTAATTCCGTGGCGACGCGCTGATATCTACAAATGCTTAACTAGCCGTTGTCTAGCAATGTATTATTCCGAATTTCAAGCGTCATATCACAATAATATGCAAGATTACAGCGATGTTCGTCTTATGTAATATAGTTTAATTCATATCTGGAAGATTTAGGTCCATATCTGAGCCGCTTGTGTTCCTTTAGATTAAAGTGCTTTATTCTGAATCTAGTGAATGACATGTTTCATGGAAATGCTTCTAGAAACTACTAGTGAGAAACAGAGGGGACAAATGTGTCCTACACCTCGCCACAGTTTAGCGTTATGCTATCGCTTCCTTGAGATATATCAAATCCAATCAATACATTCGAATGAAATAGATGTTGAGCCTTACCAATAGCAACATGTAGACGTTTGTTATTATTTGGAGTAGGTTGTACGCTTTCATCAGCCCCTCCAACTTGAACGCTGGTCTGTTCTTCATCAGGTTAGGGCCCAGATGTTTCACGAAGTACAGGTACAGTGCTAAAATGGCGACTGCATGCCATATGGACCCCATAAGGAACCAGTCATCGCTTCTGCTATCTGGAACAAATGGATTTTTCTGTAAGATTCTCTATTCTGTTTCCAACAAGGTCCTAGAGCTTGTAGTAAATTGGGAGCTCCCTGGTGTCGCCTACTTAGGACTTGAGCACATGTACTTTCCGACAAGTAATACACAGAAACAACAAATTATTAATGTAATGCATACTGCTGTAATCCATCTAAACATTCCAGCATTAAAACTTTAAGATATTGGTATTTTGAATTCAAAATGCTGAGTCTACATAAAGACAGTAGTTGCGCTGCTTTAGAAAAAATCTTTTCGACTATCGTCCACCCAGTGCACCAATCAAATTTTCATGAAGGAAAAGCAGTCAAAATATAGTTTATAGCTTTTTGGGGCAGAAACTAACACTAATCGATAATTGAAAGAATTTTAATGAAGTCAACAGAAATATAAACGGAAACAAATTGTCTGCAAACAGTTGTTATAGATAAACCAGGATTGGTTTACAAAGTCATGAGTGGTACTAAGGAAACCCTTATCTATCTGTTCAAACAAATGTGAAAAATTATTGTGACGTGCCGCATAAAAGCCGGAATATCGAAATCTTAGCAAACGTCCATTACAAGCCAACGGTTTGGTAAATATTTTTATCCGCGGGTACGCTACAGATGTGATAACCACGGTAATTTTTCTTTAATGCTGGTGGGGTGGGACTAAGCCCCTTGCACTGCGGCCACTTCTGGCCTATTTTACCAGCCCCAGATGATAGGTGAGGGTGATTGTGGAGCAATTGGTGGAATGAAGATTGGCGTAGGAAACCGAAGTACTCGGAGAAAACCTGCCCCAGCGCCACTGTGTCCACCACGAATCCCACATGACCAGACCCGGGATCGAACCAGGGCCGCCGAGGAACCACGGTAATTACAATGGTTTCCGACACAACTCGATCGTGAACTCGAGAAGAATAGAATCCTTCGAGGCGGTGTCTGGTATCACGGCCGCCTAACAGTTATAACTAGAGGCAGTTCGTACTCAGAGCTGAGGGACTCACGTGGGACTCATTGGGTCTGGCGTTCTCAGCTTCGTTATTTTACAATTCTCACCACCTAAACTCCACGTCTCTGGCGGCTTTTGTACTAGAAAATCTTAATTGTGTAATGTAGACTTTATGTTATATTTCTGTATTGTAGTGTTCGCAGTAATGCCTAACCTCTCTCTCCGCACCATGGAAAAAGCGAATGATATTTGTTACCCACTTAGCCAGCCAGTTGGATATCTTAAATATGTAGAAGTGAACATACAAGATGCACAAGTCTTGTCCTGACCTCCTATGTTACAACCAACATAAAATAATGCTAATATATTGTTGCGTATTGGCTCTATGCAGGAACTGTTGAGCCGCAAAGGCCTCGGGGCACGCGAGCAATGGTAGAGTGGCGGATTGTATCGGCGCGTTGCTAGGCGACAACTCTATGGACGCTTGGATAGCGTAACAGGAAGTAGGGTCACGTGAACTCTGCGTTTCCGTGAGTGACGTTATATATTGCCACTCATCCTGTCACTACGCAAAGCTCGTAAACATCCCTCCCGCTAGACTGTGATGTCACGCAACAGTGGAGTCCGTGCAGCGACCGTTGCTATGCAATAGGCATTCTGGATGGTTTAGAGAAGCAAGCAATCTAAAGTACTCACTTTCATACACACATATACACACACATACATTTCTAATTTATTAGCAATTAAGGTAAACCATGAAGAGAAAACACGCATTTCATAAAGCGATGTGAAGTTAGTAACTGACAAATAGAAGTCGTCAAAAAAGCTGCGGGAAAAACTGAACATATATTCGCATGTCTTTAAATAAGAATATGCAAGCAGTGGCGTGCGGCTCCTTAAAACGCAGGAGAAAATAACCAACTGAGCCCTTCCTTCTGAATCATTAAAATGTTAAAGGTAAATATATCCCGGCGCTGAAATAATTAAGCGCTATGCCATGAAGCCTTAGGAATAATATATGTATAGATCCAAGTATTCTTGGCCTCTACGCTAGTTGAAGGAGAGTTTTTAATCTCACGTCCCGTTCGCTTTAACCTTGGGGAAGGAGCCCTAGGAGTCATTGGATAGGAGAATGTTTGGGCCCCAGAACTGATCTACAGGATATTTAGAGGAAAATATTTTGCCCATACCAGGACTAGAACACCAAACCCTCGGCCATCCAGACCGTAGACAGTCGCTATATCAAATGTAGTATGATGAGATAATGAATAATCTAAATTAGCACGCCATTAAAAAATTGGGAGAAAGGGGAATAGAAATATTTAATTTTCATTTTGGTGTTCACACTAAATGGCGCATTATGTGAATCGCACAGTAATGTCTGTGTGACAGAAACTCTTTGAGCAGCGCGTTATTTATGCTTTAATTTAAATGAATCTGCACTCGCCTCGGTTTCAGTTCACTGTGAAAACAAATATGGGTTTATTTGCACACAGTGTACTGCCGTGTGGTATGTAGCCGAATGTTACATCTATAACACGGGTCCAGATGTATCCAGGAAGAAAAGCAATCGAACAGAACTTTCGAATTTGCATTGGTGTGATACAGAGCGGTGTGTCAGGGTCGAGAGCACACCGGAGTCCAGATAGAATACGGCAATTCAAACATGTCAGCTAGGTTAAAACTACAAATGAAAGCCAAATTCACTTGTCATGTTTGGTAAGCCCTTGTACTAGAGCTCAATCAAATGGGACAAGATTTCCAGACATATCACAGCAGTTAAAATATTGCAACTCATCTCACGAACAGCACTTTAATATTATATTTGATTGGAACTTCTCACAGCGATGTTGTGACGCAACAAGAGTCTCTTACCTTGTTTCATATTTCTACTGATGTCTTGCTTGACTTACCCTTCCACGCTGAAGATGGAAGCGATGTAAGTTTTAAGCACACTAGGATCTCTATTAAACAAAAGTAGCTACAACCCAACTTGTCGTTTTCTTGTTATATTCAAATCTCATTTTTGGGTATGATAGCGGATTGTTCACTCACTCATGGAGCTGAGCCCTTCTTGAGAAGCCGCCAATTGTGCAGCCACTCAAGAATTTTCCAGCATTTTATGGCACCCGAAGGTTCATTACCGTGTTCACAAGAGCCCTGCACTGGTCCCTATCCTGAGCCAAATCAATCCAATCCATATTAACATATCTCTCTAAAATCAATTTTAATGTTGTTCATCTACGTACGTCTTGATCTTCCTAGAGGTCTCTTCTTCTGGCTTTCCCACCACTATCCTTTATGTATCCCTCATCTCTCCATTCGTGCTACATGCCCTGAGCATTTCATCCTCCTTGACTTGATCATTCTAATTATACTTGGAAAAGAGTACAAGTTATGAAACACCTCATTGTGCAGTTTGCTCAACCCTCCCGTCACTTCATCTCTCTTCGGTCCAAATAATCTCATCCATGGTTCTCATTCCCCTTTCCATAGAAAAATGTATATTCGCCTGCTGTTTCGGTGCTCCCTCTGTCCTATCTGGCCCCCTGTACTCCCACTAAATCTAAATTATATTTGAAATTCTTTCCGCCACGGCCCTAAGCGAACCAACCTTATGCATACTTCTAACATTCCAAGGTCGAAATCTCGTATCCACTTGCTTTCGCTTAGGGCGTTTATCCAAGGATTCCGTCCAGGTCCGAGGATTCTTGTGATCTTTCGTAATATGCTTATTTTTTTTACAATGAGGCGTTGTTAGTTCCACACCCAACCCCAAGCTGGAAGACCACCCCTTGTCGGCGCTCCGCTACTGTTTATTCAATATATTCGTAATTGTCCTCCATATCCTGAGGCTGCCTTCTCCATCTGCAACCTGAGGACTAGCCATGCCGAGGTGAAAATGGACCCACCTAACATTGTTACAAGTGATATCACCAGCATACATGTGTTTCAAGATATATTTTTGCAGCCACATTTAAATTCTCTATGACTAGTACGATCACACATTTCCCCGTAATGTAATATGCTGTGTTCTCGTCATTTCAGTTAAACCCCTTTAATGTAAAGAATGTACTTCTCTCAGAGGAAATGATCACGTGTCACTACAAGATAAAAGCTCGAACAGTTTCTTGCTTTCAAGTTCTTAGCATACTTACCCATTTTTCCTATTACCCATTCGTCGAATGCTCTCCGCCCAGCTTTGATTACTGCCGCCATGTTGGCCTGAAACACGAGAAAATATATTGTGACGTGTCGCGCTATGCAGGACACCACTCCCCACCCCGCCGGCGGCGGTGACGTGCCGAGCGGAGCCGAAGTGAGCCGAGCGGAGACGAAGCGAGCCAAGTCCCGGCACACTGGTCGCTATGCAACGCGGGTAAACAGTGGTTGCGGGAGACAACTCCCGACAGCGTTACCAGTAACACCGGTAACCACGGCGCCAGACAACAATGGTGCCTGTTTCGTGGCTGTTTTCTGCGTTGTCCGGAACGAGGCTAGATACGGAACAGCGAAGACTATTCATAGTCAGTTCTGAGTTAGCCAGCAGTCAGTTCTGAGTTCTCAAGTTCTCTGGTTACGATTTACGAGTCAGCCAGGCAGTCAACCAGCATTTGCAGTGTAGTATTTGTGATACTGCAGATAGCAGTAATTGCGAATCTGTAAATTGTTTGATTGTAAGAGCGAATGTGAAATAAAATTCGCTATATCCAATACGGCGTGAAGTTATTTGTCACGTTATACGCTCAACACGTGACAATATTTTAGTCTCTTGTTGTTCTTAATCCAATTCCAAGTCCAAAACCTATGACAAGAAGACCACCCGGATTTGCAAGTCGACTATCCCCCTATATTTTATACGAATTTAGAGTGTAATTGTTTCATAATGTTTGCCTAAATGGAAAACGTAGTAAGCTTGCTAGTTCTACGTTTTTTTCCTTAATTTTTTAAACTTATTAGTTACTAGAAGATATTGTGACGCAACGGAGTGGTTATAGACGGAGTTTAGATTCGTAATTGGTCTTACTGAATTCTTTAACTTATACATTATTACACTTTACAATTCAATGTCACGCACAGACTAGTGTTCTCGGACAGGTCTTCACTGCACTGCTTGTTAGCTGCTTCCAACTCCGGACATTTCACTTGGTCTGGGTTTCCAAACTGCCCCTGGCCTCATCTACCGCAAATCTCTGTTTACAGACTCTCTCTTGAATCAACTCATAACGGCAGTTGGCCCTGTTTATATAGCCTCAACACGGAACCCACCGAAAACATCTCTGCTACAGATATTCTATTGTTGCATGACGTCGGTATCGTCACGGACCGCGTAGACACCACCGCTTCATACAGTCACTCCATGGTTGGGTGCTTGTCTGTTGCCTCCTTAAAGTGACGGTTACTGAGCCATGCCTATCAACGGGCATGTTTAGAAAGCAATTCTCTAGCAACGGCTGTCTCTGTTGGCTTCACAATTGTGGCTTTCAGGAGACATGCAGCAGTATGTAGGGGACATAGTAGAGATAGCAAGAAATTGAAATTGAGGAGAACGTAGAACAGATTGCAGAATTTTTGTTCTTCCGTACTACAGAGCGGAAACGACACTGTAAAAAGAATGATATATTTCTCTCTCTGCTGATAGTCGTGCTAATATTAGTAGCATGAATTACAGACCGAAACAAATGCAATGTGATATTATCCTATAAACGCTTAAAATCTTTGTTGCTATATCATGCAACAAGGGAAAACCATACTTTTTGGCTACAGTGGATAACATATAATTACCACTTTAGTAGTTTCTGGTTACTACAGCAGCGCCACTGTTTTGAGAAACATTCCCACTCGCGCCACTGGGATCAACACACAGGCCAATGTTAATTGACGCTGGTGAGGAAGTTGGTCTAGAAGTAAATGCAGAGAAGACTAAGTATATGTTACTGTCTCGTCACTAAAATGCAGAGCAAAATCATGACATAAAGATAGGTAACAGTTTTTTTTAAATGTGGCACCGTTCAGATATTTTGGAACGACGATAACAAATCAAAACCTGATTCGGGAGGAAGTTAAGATTAGATTGAACTCGGGTAATGTATGCTACCATTCAGTCCAAAATCTACTTTCTGCTTGTCTGCTGTCAAAAAATATAAAAATTAGAATATACAAAACTATAATTTTGCCTGTGGTTTTGTATGGGTGTGAAACTTGGTCTCTGACATCAAAGGAAGAACATAGACTGAGGGTGTTTGAGAACAGGGTGCTGAGGAGAATATTTGGATCGAGGAGAGATGAAGTGACCAGAGGTTGGAGAAACTACATAATGAGGAGCTTCATAACTTATACTCTTCTCCAAGTATAATTAGAATGATAAAGTGAAGGAAGATGATGTGGGCAGGGCATGTAGCATGAATGGGGAGAAGAGGAATTCATATAGGATATTGGTGGGAAAGCCAGATTGAAAGATACCAGTGGAAAGACCAAGGTGTAGGTGGATAGACAACATTAAAATAGATGTTAGAGAGGTGGGATGGGATGGTATGGATTGGATTGATCTGGCTGAAAATAGGTACCAGTGGAGGACTCTTATGAATACGGTAATGAACCTTCGGATTCCATAAAATGCTGGGAAACTCTTGAGCAGCTGCACAATTCGCGTCTTCTCAAGATGAGCTCATCTGCATGAGTGCGTGTGTCAATAGAACACATATTGATGACTGCTCTGACAGAGAGAATGACATGGACGGTGCAAATGAAATAAACTGAAGCATTAAGGCGCCAGTAGTGGAGATGTTGCTTTATCGAGAAAGTAGAAGAGCCTTCGGGGACAATCACAATACGAGTATAGAGCAAAAATGGGTTATTGTGCTTAGACATGGCCGATATTATAGGCCTACCCCTGCGAAAATCAAATGTAGACAAAATATATTGCGTGATTTTGATGATGCAATGTAGAGGGAGAAGATGGAAACGATTTTCCAATTTGAAATTGCTTTATACTTGACGCATAAGTAAGGCGATGTAAGTGTATGATACTCAGTTTAGCAAGAAATACATACAAGTTCATTACCTGGAGTCCTGCCGAGCCCTGCTGAGAATAAAAGCACTATGATATCCCACCCAACAAGCACACCAATAAGCGTGTCCTAATAATATGCTAATGATGAGTATTATGCAACTTACTAACCTGAATTGTGTGACCGGAACATGACTAAGGAAATAAGAAGTTATCCACATTTCGTATGCGTGGCAATGAAGGTCTGAGGTCATATCAGGGCCCTAGTGCTAGAATACATTTTTCGAGTGTTTAGGATGTCGGCCAGTGGCGTGCGGTACTATTTTCTGTTAGGGAAGCAGTGGTATCTAATAAGCGAACTGACAGCAATCAGCTCACCAAAATTTACGTCACTTGTTGAGTCAATAAGCTCGTTTTGTATTCTGTTCGATAAACCTGTAAATACTGTACTGTTCTCAAGGTGAACATTGAGTTTATGATCATATTTCCTCAACAAGTGAACTAATTCCACATAATTACCTCGGTCGATAGAATCCACGCTTTCGTCATGATCACGCAGGCCAAGTTGCCAGATGTTATCAAGATAGCCTTTCTTTATTTCTCTATGTAGTATCGTCAGGCGCTTTTGATTGTCAAGTTGACAGCCAATTCGAGTTGCATTGTTGAAATAATGTGAGTCTGAGAGTTCTCATGTCGTTTCACTGCTTTATGAAGTGTGTTGATATCACCAAACCCAGTCTTGTTCCATACATTTTTTCATTGAGAAACAATAGGCATGGCCAACAAAACAATTTTCCTATATTACGGCAACTCTGTTTTAGAATACTGTTCCAAATTAAATTCTCTCGCACATAATTTCGTTTGTGCTTTAAGTTCTGGCAACCCTCATGTCGGTCGTCCTCTTTCTATAATTATTTTCTTTTCAGAAAAGTTCCTGCTATTAAACCCCCGTTTTCAAAGGCTTTCGATTGCACAGTCGCAGTAGCGTTGTCTGCCAGCATTCCTGTTAGCTGTGGCCTGTGCGTGTTGTCTATTCACGCCCCTGCCCATCTTACCGCAATATCAGACTTGCTTCCCTTAAACGCGAATAGCTTCTTTCTGATGCGTCAAAATAGATCACAAATACAATCTTACGTCATATAAATATGCACTTACAATATTTTAATGAAACTTAATGTTACCTATAACACCCAACAAGACTGAAATCACACATAAACAGTTAATTTTCACATAACCATCGAAAGAACACAATCCTTATCTTCCATATCACAGGCATTAGCGAACAAACCGAAAGTTGCTTCCGTACCCACTTCGTGTGCGACGAATTATTACGGAGATTAACGAAGGAAACTTGGTCCGTCGCACCAAGCAGGGTAAGGGAGGAGGAGGCGGTATGTGGCCTTGAGCAGGGACACGCGCTGAATGACAATATTATTCAAATTGAATTATTTATATATGACTTTTTTTCTTTTTGTTTCTTAACTACGGAAGCAATGCTTCCCTTGCTTCCATGCACGGCACACCACCGATGTCGGCTAAAACCTTCAGCTAGTGCTTTCCAACACAATGGAGAAAACAAGAACTTGATGAAATGCTTATGTTAACCGGAGGGTTGTTAGGGAAATTAATTGAATGTTGTAGATCAAGCTGAAAATCGAAGAAGATAGTGCAGTAAATAGCATGAATGATACATCTTGACGCTTGCGCACTCCGCAGCATGCCGAGACAGCTGTGTTCATAGTAGAGACAGCCAGTATTCACACACAGTTCTGTTGCCATGATTATTGTACCATCTGCTTTGTCGCCATTAATCCCAAGGAAAAACGTCAGTGACGAAAGATAAGCAACATTAGTACATTACTTGGAGGGACTTAATACTGGAGTAGGAGACCGCGCCATAGTTCAAGCGGTAAGTTGCTGGCTTCCAAAAGTGGCAGCCCGGGTTCGATCCCGGGTCTAGTCAAGTGGGATTTGTGGTGGAAAAAGTGGCGATGGGGTAGGTTTTCTCCGAGTACTTCGGTTTCCCCTGCCAATCTTCATTCCACCAATTGCTCCACACTCACCCTCACCTACCATCTGGGGCTAGTACAATAGGTCAGGAGTAGCCCAGTACAAGGTACTTAGTCCCACCCCAATAGCAATAAAAATAATTGTACTGGATTAAATACCCGTTCATTACCACGTTCCAGAAAGATATCAGTGACGAAACGCAAGCAGATTTCAGAGAAGACTTTGCTGTGCTGACTACTGTGCCAGTTTCGCTATATGAATATCTCCGGCATTTTCCAAGAAGACCACTTCTATAATTAACACTTTCACTGAATCACTGCCTTCGACTTGGTCACCTCCCGGCTGCTTGGAAGGAGGCAAAGTTTATTACTCGACCGAAACCCAAAGCAAAAACACATTTCCTCAAAACTTAGGCCAGATCAGATTCTTGAACACTACGGGCAAACAATTTGAGAAACTGATTTGACGAACAATCCAAAATCCATGGAGGAAAAAAATTTACTAAATGTAGGTCAATTTGGCTTTTCTTTTAATTAGCTTAGTGGGGGGTGGAATCCAACTGGGTCCACTCGGCACGGCGGCCAATATTTGGCCTATTGTAACCTGCCCCGGGTGATTATGATGATGGAGAATTTGGTGGAATGAAGATTGGCAGGTGAAACCGAAGTACTCGGAGAAAACCCGCCCCAGGACCACTTTGTCCACCACAAATCCCACTTGACCAGACCCGGGATCGAACCCCGCCGCAGTGGGAAGCCAGCAACTAACGGCTTGAGCTATGGCGCGGCCTGTCAGTTTGTTTTTCGAGCAGATCACAACATGACACTTCAATATATGAGGCTGGCGAATCAACTCACCTTGAATTTCAACCATAATAATGTAGACTGCTGATGTGTTCTTGGATATCATTAGTACTACCATTTTTACAAATTGTAAATTTACGATCATCAAATATTTCTTAATGCCGCTCAGATTTCTTAGGCATAACCACAAAATTTCACACCATGACAACTTTTGTAATTGTTTATATGGTAAGAAATATTATTTGCTTCCAATACAATATGTTTACTTTTAGAGTGGTATGGTAGTGGTATGAGGAACTGTTTCTGCAAGTTTGCTATGCAGTAAATATTTTTGAGAAAACTTTTTTGGAAAGTGACTGCAGAACAATTTATGTGAAACATCTGAGTTAAGTGACAGTTCGAAGATGAAGGTTCCGGTATATTAAAACACAGTAAGGAAGTACCACCTTTTATCTTGGCTTGCAACACCCTGCTCATACCAAGCATATTGTAACTGTGGTCACCACATGACAAAAACTTTGCTGCCATAATGAATTCTGAAGGTCAGAAGAGACCTTTCTGGAACTACTGAAAAAAAAACATTTGTTTTGAAGATTCGTGCGAGCATCAGTAGATACTTTATGACTTGGATAAAGTTACTTCAATTGCAAACCCTTTGCAGACCAATAACAGGAAAAGGCATGAACTTGGAACTAGATCCATGATATGTATAGAGTGGCCGTCTTGTAGTGCACTCAACTTCACCTGTTACTTCACGACATGTTTCGGTAACATAGTGTCATCATCAGGTGCCCTAATTACGCTAATTAGCGTAAGTGAAGTAACAGGTGAAATTGAGTGCACTACAAGACGACCACTGTATACATATCATGGATGAAAATCCGTGCAACAGGACGCTAAAATACAACATTGGAACTAGATGCTCATGTCTTAGAATAGGTATTTTTCACTTTATCATGATCATCTACAATCACGGATTAGGCAGAAGAACCATGTTCCAGTCTTCGACTCCATCTCTTCCTTGATCTGCAACATCAGTCTTTCCTCGAATTCGGAATATGATTATATATTTTAGAAGAAATTCTTTATTACAACCCGTCGCAACACAACAATACAATGACCAAGACTAAAATTAGCTCAGCTACATGTTTTGGCTATTAAAGCCATCATCAGGCAAACACATGATTACCATATTCACACACTACTGAACTGCAATTGCGATGGTGAAGCTGCATACTTGATAATTATTACATTATAAAATATATGGTATAAAAATAGAATGAATTATAAACTTATTATAAAAACGAAAGTTACGGCGTAAAAAATTATAAAACTCTTCGTGTGATATTCCATATGAACTCAGTTGTTGCAATTTTGTTATATTCCCACGGACATATAGCAGTATAATCTAGACTTGTATACATGTAATAAACTGCTTGGAGGTCCGTGGTATAGACGTTGCATAGTTCGCCATTAATCGTTTGGCCGGTGCCTCATCTTAAAGTGTATTTAGTCCGTTCTTCAGGGAATGTAGATTGCAACTGATGATGGCTCCAACAGCCGAAACATGTAACTAAGCTAATTTTGGCCTTGACCATTGTATTGTTGTGTTGCGACGGACTCTAATAAAGAACTGTATATAATAAAACAACAGGGTGCATGAAATGAAAATTATTTCAGAAGGTCGTTGGACTTCCATTTTGAATTTTACAGGGACACAACTGCACTTCTATTGAGGATTGTGTAAGGCATAAAATAATTTTTTGTCTTATATTTTCTCTTCTTCATTAACAGTAAAAATTAAGCAGCATTGCATTTTAATTGACTTGACATATTCAGCTTATCTGTTTTAGAATGCAACGCTTGTCTCTAAGTGTCTCATTTGCACCGCATTCAGGTTCATCTTCGCTCCTCCCCCATTGAGGGATTTTCCTATTGTATTTCTATGCTTGAATGTGCTGAATGACAAACACTGCGAGCACTAGGCTTACTGGATGTTGCATAAATCTTAGTTTATTGATCCTGATGTACTTACAAATGTGAGAAGTACATGTTATAAGTTTGTGCTTGCAAAATGATATGCAGCTGTAATATATTCCTTCAGAGGTGAAAAAAAAATGCAAAATGTGCTTTAATTGAAGTGAATACTTATGCCCTATTTGATCTTTTTCACATAAGCTCTTTGATAGAAATCGTAAAACAGCTTGAACATAATTATGCTTTGTATGATCATTGTTAAGGCCATAAATGTTGGATATTCACAGTTTTCAATCACTAAAGCTGTTGACGCATGTAGACCAATCAGCACGAATTGAATCTGAAAGGAAACAGTAATAAATACATCTGTATAGAACACAAAAATATATTAAATACTGGGAACAAAATCAAGCAAACTACAGTGAAGCGAATAGTGTGGGGAAACATGTGGCAGACTGGGAAATGTGATAAACTCCATGCCGACATTGCTTCTACTGAACCCTGACTAAAGGTCCTTTGTTCACGAAAAAAAGCCATTGTGTTGTCATCTCTAATATTTCATCCTCAATATTTGTTATAACACGTTTTAGCGGCCTCTGTAGTCTAGGAGTAACGTTCAAATCCGGCGGAGGTCGTGGAATTTTTAAGGGCGGAAAAATTCAAGGAACAAGTCCTCCGGGAGGGAGTTTAAGCCGTGGGTCCCGTGTCGTAGATTTACGGCACGTAAAAGAACCTCATGTCTCTAGGAGTTCTCTGAGCAAAATTAGGCAAAATATTTCCCGCCTAAGTAGTTTCCCATGCCTCCGGTAGATGGGGAAGTTATCGGGTACCAATGCCAGTAGAGGGCGGACCTCGCTGGCAGAAAGGGGAGATAACGGGCTCCAGTATTGGTAGGGTATGGCGACAGTAGAAATTAAAGGGGGACGTACAATAGACTATTAGTCGCGGTGCATGGGGAAACCGACCCCCTCTGTGCTGAATAAATGAATAACTCAATATAACACGTTTTAATATCATTCCGTCGTCTGGTAAGGTCTGATTAAGGTACTATGCTACAAGCTGGAAGGTCGCGGGTTCGAGTCCTGATGAGGTGAATTTTTTCAATTTACCTAATCCTTCCAGCCGCACTATGGCACTGGCGTCAATACAGCCTCTAACGAAATTAAAAACAGGAAAATTCTTGAGAGAAAAGGGCGGCCGGCACCTAAGGTTGACAATTTTGTTGCCATCTGTGAGCCGACTGTCTAGAAAATTTTGGAGCATCTACGCCTGACAACCCTATGGGCCTTACTGTCTGCTACAGGGATAGCTTTATTTTTTTATTACCTAGTCTTAACACTTCCAAGTGACCTTTTCACTGGTATTTGGAAGAGCTTACTTTCTTGGTGTTTGGCTTGCTTATTAATATTCTGTGTTTCATCTGTTTATTTGAAAAATTTAATTACATTTATTTAAGTGAATGTACGAGGGAGTCAGTAAATATGTCACAAATTGAAGTAAAACAACTGTAATGGATGAAATAAGTCTTATCTATGTATCACTAGGTAGCAGCAGAGTCTAGCTTCATAACAACCTAGGTAGCAGACGCTCATGCTCAATGTGAGAGACTAGTTTCAGTAGTAAAAATGGCGACCGTGCTGGAGAAGTATACTACCGAATAGCAGTCTTCTGTTTCGCGCCTTTTGTGGACAAGAATTCTCAGTGCAAAAATATTCATAAACAAATGCTTTCTGTTTACGGTGGGAAGTATTTATCGTATGAAGCGGTTCATAACTGGGTCGAGAAACTCTCTGAAGGACATCAGAGGGTGGCAGATGATGCCCGATTGAGATTGCGACAGGAGCCACTGTGCAGCGGAAGAGTTGATTCGAGCTGACAGGAGCATAACAACAGAGAGCGTAGAAACTGCACTGGGGTGTTCCCATGGGTTAGCATAGAACATAATGCATGATAATTTGAAATTCCGGAAATGTGCGCACGGTATGTGCCCAGAGAACTGAAAGATCGAGAAAAATTGAACCCAATGGGCCTGTCCTTGCAACGTCTCTTGCGGTATAAGGATGAAGGAGCATATACGAGTATGCTCGACAGGATTGTTGTTTGGATGAAGCATGGGTGAATCACTATCAACCCGAATCAAAGCGCGATTCAGTGAAATGGAAATATAGAAATTCACCTTCAACCGAAAAAGTTTAAAGATACGCTACAGGCGTTTTCTGTGTTTTGGAATTATGAGGGAGTGCTGTTAGCCAATTTTCTGAAGAGTGGTGAAAATGTGAATTCTGCATCATACTGTAAAATTCTATTGAAGCGCTGGTTTGAAATTCGCACAAGACCTTCAGGCCAACTGGCAAGAGGAGTACTGCTTCAACATGACAATGCAAGCCCCATACAGCGCGAGCAACCCAGAAGAGGGTTCAGGAACTACAGTGGGAACTTCTTGGACATCTGCCTTACAGCCCTGACTTGGCACTTAGTGGCTTCCATCTGCTTGGCCCGCTAAAAGACCACCTTGTTGGCATTTTGCCAATCTGCTGAAAGTAGTATACTCGTAATATTTGTGTAATATTTGTTGTGTTTAATCATTTTATCAGTTTGTGGAAAGAACGCCTGGTACCCTGAAACTTCTGGTACCTGAAATTGCCCCTATCTCAGATTTTCGAATTATGGAGTGCTGCACTCTACTTGATATTGTATTCGCTTCTGGACCACGATTTTAATTTATTATAATGCGGTATCTGTTACCATATTCTGCAGATTTATGGTTCTTTCTTTATCCGTCAGTGACTGAAGTCTTTCATTCACCTGTTATTTCCCTTATTCCCTTAAAGCTTAACAGTCGCACATTGTGAAGAATTTCATTAATATCTGTTTGTGTCAGACAATTTTCAATAGAAACAAATGCTTGTCAATTTTGTATTACTTTCGTATCAAAATATTCGAATTAACCCAACTTAATTTTTTGGTACTCCAGTTGCAGTGGGAATGCCATCACGAAGCCTCTAAATAGTCCAGGTGCTCTGCAATTGTACTCGGCTATACTCACCTTTTTATAAATAATTGCACTTGTATCGAAATCCGTCCTTACTTCCTTCAGAGCAAAATATGTTTCCTGCCCCATCCATAAAATTTACTGTAAATTTAAATAAATAAAACTACCGCCAATATTAACAACATGATTGTAGCTATAAAATTATAGCTAGGTGAGCTTGCATATGTACTTCAAACAAAATAAGGCAATTCGTGTAAATAAAGAGACTTTAATGCGTGTGAAGGAAAAACCTTTCAAGAGGAAGGAAAAGCAACAGCATTAATAATGTTCCACATTCGAAGGAATGTTTTGGACGAGAGGAAGATTTTGTTTGCTTACCATCTGTAGCTGAGTAATGTACTTCTTCCACCAAAAGCTGCCCTTATACTCCGGCCACATGGAAGTGATGAAATAATAGGCGTACATAACAGCGTGGACGATGGAGTTCGTATATCCCAAGAAGGTCCCATGGCCACCTGTAAAATCAATATGTAACTGAGGCGTACCCCAGTCGCCACACCTCAAAGGCGTCGAGAAGGGGGGGGGGGTAACAGTAGGTCCATATTTGTTTCGCAAATTGTTCTGTAAAATGATGGAAAGGAGTGTTCTTTTAAGTTAATTGGATTACTCTTCAATTGAATGTTCGTTATTAATCATCTGTCTACTTTTAATAAAACTAAAGATGTAGGCTTATAATCTTTCAGCTATTGAATAAACACCCCGCCTTTTATGTATCTGACAGCTCGTCACTTCTCCATATACTGAGGTAGGCAAATCCACTCTCTGTCTCCTCACTCATTGCCATTGTGTGTTTTAATATTAATCTCCCATCTACGCCTAGATCTTCCAAATAATTTTTCCTTTCAGGTTTTCCCATAAAATTCTCTATGCATATCTTGCCCCCACTTTGCGTGTTACAGGCGACTTCATCATTCTGTTAAGGTTTGCTGAAGAGTACCACTTATGACACTCTTCAAATTTTCTACACTCTTTTTACTTTGTCCCTCGTATATTCTAACAATCTCCTCAGCGTATTCTTTTCACAAAACCAGTCAATTTGTACTCTTGTCTTAATATTAAAGAACTAATTTAGCACTCACAAACAACAAGTTCTGGAAAAACTAATCATGTACTTTCCTTTGATTCGACACGGACCGCACATAAAACGACGTCTCCAACAATTCTACTGTTGCTTGTATAGTCATTTTAGCGGCATACCGAGTCTTTACCTAGCAACGACAGGGTGACACACAGAGACACACACAGACTGATGGAAGGGATTTAGGAATTATGCCTCTGAAATGGGCTCAAGTAATATTATATATATACAGAATGTAATAAATATTGCTTCAGTGATTCAGAAGTTAATAAGGGGACACACAGAGAGACACACAGACGTAAGCCTGCTTTTATTAGTTCAAAATAAGGAAAGTAATCTAGAAACAGTCAACTCGGGTGTCAGCAAGTGAAGACAACATATCTATGAAAAATTAAAATGTGGATGGGTAGTCTAAAAATAAGAAATATTTCAGCTAACGATTTTGTAAAATTATCTCTGTACACGACATATGCGAAACAAGGGTCTTAATCCAAGTTTTTTGAAGGAAACCAATAATTCCCAGAGAACAACATAGGAATGGTTATTCTTAGTGGAGTGATAATGGTAAAGCAAATTTTGTGATTTTGTGACGAAGAACAAGAATGTCAAGTGGGTCGCTAATGTGAAAATGTAATATTTACAAAGGGGGGTTTAAAATAAAAGTGCAAACATTGCACATACCTTCTCATACATGATTAACCTTAACTACTTTACCTTGAAAACAATTCGATTGTGTCGCCATAGACCATTAGTGATTATTGAAAGTCGAACAAAATTTTAATCCGTCCCACCACGAAACCCCGTTTCGATATAATTCGCATTTCGGTTTACTTTTGTCCCCGTAGTATGAGTGTCGTCATTTTAGTGAGGGCGCTGTCTATGCAATTTTATTTACAGGTACGGTTTCCATAATTCGTCAAAAATTAATTAAATTCACTGAGGCTGTTTTTGAGAAAAACGCATTTTTATGATATTAGTGGTAGGAAACAGTGGCATATAACTGAATATTACCTGGCAAGAACTTAGTCGTAGCCCACGTAAGGATCACCATCATGCCGTGATGATATACGTGCAGGAAAGATATCTGGTTGTTTTTCTTCCGAAGAACGAAAAATACCTACAATCAACATGAAAATAGAACTCGGTTAGCTCCCCTATATGCTGTGTTGTGGTGTTTACTTACTGCTGTAAAACTGCCGCTCATTAAACAATCAGGGGCAACACTTGAGGATTTCTAAGTTGTCTGCAAGTATCAGTTACATATTAATTGCTAAACTGAAGCGCGCAATGTATACTAAATATCTCACTATTAAACAAAGCGCACTATACTATTATACTACACATGCCTGATAATGTTAAATGAATACACAAAATCAACTTCGAGAATTTTAGAGAGAGATAGCAGGAATTACCAGACGGTAATATTTGTATTGCAGCCGGTCACGGTAGCCGAGAGGTCTAAAGCATGTACTGTCTTCGCTCGCTGGGAAGCTGGGATCGTGGGTTCGAATCCCGCTCAGGGCATGGATGTTTGTGTACAGGTAGAGGCCTTGCAACGAGCTGATCACCCGCCCAAGGAGTCCTACCGAATGTGTAAGATGTAGAAAAACCGAAGTGAACGGAGAAGTTCATGGAGGTAGGCCCAGGCCCACTGGGGCTGTAGTGCCAGGAAAAAAAAATAAATTTCAGATCACAGTAGCCGCGCTCTAAGGCATGAGATGTGTGCGCTCTTCACCACTGGGATCGTGGATTGGAATTCCACTCGAGGCATGGCTATCTGCGTAAGTCTATTTTGTGTTTGTGTTGCTTTGTGTGCAGGTTGCGGCCTTGCGACGGGCTGATTTCCTGTCCAAGAAGTCCCACCGGATGTTTATATGATTAAGAAACTGAAGAGAAACAAAACGTTTCACGGATGCCCTATGGTCCAAAGTGGGAGCAAAAGCAAGATGAAAGAGAGAGAGAATACTTAAATTTTCAGTTCAGCTTTGTTATGAATTTCTGTGAGAACATCTGCGTCTGACTGCATGCATTGGACTCGCCTGTGTTTGATTTTTTTATTTTCAGTAGGTAGAACAATTATTTACATGAAATTTCTATCTTCTGATATATATAACGCTGTGTTCATTCGTTCATTTTCATCTATTCATTCAGATTCATGCGTTCATTCATTCATTTATTCATTAATGATTATACAGCCCTTTGTTGGGTCCTCGCCTCTTCTTCAGTTTTATAATCATTATTATACAGACGGCAGGACTCCTTGTATGAGTGATCATCCCGTCGCAAGGCCGCTACCTACACACAGGACAACACAAACACAGAATAAAACGCACAGACGGACATCCATGCCTTGGTGGGGTTTGAACTCACGATCTCAGCGTTCTAGCGAGCCACAAATGCGCGGCCCCTCTGATCGACTAAACATTCTGCAAAAAGTTTCTCATAGCCGAGACTTACGGTTTGAGGGAGTTTATGTATATCAAATATACTGTCCTGTTATACTCCAATTTGATCTGTAGCATCTGTAGAAAATCTAATCAATAGTTGATACATTACGTAGAACTCTAAGACGAACCTCTGTAACTTATTCTACAAACGAAATCAACTTTGAGAGAACAATACTGCACAAAATAGTGTGTGAAGCCGATAACACTGACAGGCCTGGATGTTTTCTGCAGGCAGTTTTTCTCCATCCTTACAAATTGGTACTATTTACCAATTTTTCCTTACTGCATAAATCGTTAATAAGCTTACTGTTATCGGAGCATGATATTTCTCATAGTGTCTGAATAAATTCTGTTGAAATTTGATGATATCTGGAGATCTATAACTTGTGAGCCTTTCTATACCAATAGACTGAAGTTTTCAAATAGAGCGTAAAGCCGCATTTCGGTCAGTTCCAGGTAGTATCTGGACATATTTTTTTGTATGTTCGAACTATGATTTGAAAGCTAACTCATCTGCGAACATCTTTCTGAAATGCTGGACATGCAACAAAGTGATCGTGTTTTCTTTGTCGAGAAAAAACATGGGTTAAAAGGTTCATTCAAACTGAGATTATATTTTGATCTTTTTTATATGTCACAATAAATTATTTTAAATAAATTAGCAGACGTATTTTGGCTTCTCTGACATCTTGGTAGCCATTTTGATCTTAAATTTGAGGACTGTCACACTATGATTTGGAAGAGAACCTGTACTCCTCCCTACTGATATATCGTTACGCAACAAGCAAAACGTTTACGTTAGTCTCTCTACTTACTAAGCTAATAACTAAGCTAACTTACTTTGCTAATAAAATTCTCTTACCGTATCCAGAAGATCAACAACTTTAAGTATGAAGTACAGCCACACCGTTCTTGCCATCTGCACAGATAATTCCAGTTCAGATTTCATACAGAAATAATGAGGAATGTCTAACTTTACAGAAAGATAAATTCAAGAGTAAAAGCAGAATGGACACTGTCTTCTCACGAAGGTGAGACTAGGAAATATAGCATATTGAATTACGAGGAAAACTCTCGCTGAGACTGAGTCACTTGCAGAGCAATACTGTATTACTATTGAGTTGAATCGACTAGATCTGTTCTTACTGCTCGCATGAAGTTAAACAGTGGGAGTGGTTTGTAAGGCAGAACTTAAAATGCAACAGGGGATTGGTTATATTAAAGCAGTACCTTAACAAATACAGAGTAAGAATGTGAAGTGACTCAGGTTCAGATGTTATTAATGAGACACACGCACCTGTGTGGCTGTTTCTGTGTTGGAATAGTCAATAGGCTGGCAGAACACGTGGTATTTTGTTCCCCATCCCAAAGCATGTGCCTGTAACAAGTACGGCTGAGTATCACTGCCGAGAAACAATGCGTCCTGTTGTGTATCATATATTATTTCTTACTGAACACCGTCATAACACAACAATCAATAATATGTGTACGTAGCTCTAGGAGATAATGTTTCTACATGTTTCGGCCTTCAAAAGGCCATCATCAGGCAAATACATTAAACTTTTCGTTACTGAATTGCATGTCAAATATAGTATACAGTGCTAAACTTCCAAGTATATACAATGATATAAAATGATATGACCGAATATAAAATATAAATTAAAATAATATTGAAGTCTTAAATAACAAGTTACATAGTCTAAAGTATATCTAAATATTGTATATGTGATGGTATTTGGAAGTTGGCAGTTGTAATCGTAATACGTATATGTAAGGCTCATACCGACATATTATATACACAATGGCTGATATGGTGTTCGGAGGCCTGTTGTTATGTTGTATGTTATTATTTAATATTTAATACAATTTGACGGGCGACTCCGTTGTGTAAATGTCCGACTTGATGGAGAGACAGATTACAACTCATCTATTTCTCCATAAAATTGGACTTTTACCCTCCACATCTGGAGGTTGCCTACCCCAGCAGCAACATAAGATCGCGCCTTGCTTCTGTTGCCCGCTTCACACCAACACTCGCTCCTCTTGCACTCAGCAGTCGACTCGTTCCTTCTCTTATTCTCTGCATTCTGCTCGTCGTGGTTAATTCCCACGGTATAAATCAACAAACCAGTCAGTAATAATTAATTACAACTAGCTTTTTCATAATTCATTTTTGTAAAATGTTACCTTACTTCGTGTGACTTACCTTGTAAACGAGATAGAGACACATGGATATCTGCATCAGATTGTACACCCGAACGATTGGTTCCACGTTGAAGGCAGGTCTGTGCTTCATCAAACGGGGACCCAGGTTCTGCACAAAGTACACATAGGAAATGGCAATGAAGATCACAGGCCAAGGAGAGCCCATCAAGAACCATTCGTCACTCCTGTGATCTGCAACACGGTAGAAATACTATAATTGACGTCTCGAGGTTGGAAATTACGATAGCAAATTATTACAGCTATATGAGATACGAGGTACAGAGAAATAGTTTATAATTGATTCTTGTAGAAAACGTATATTGAAAGACCTGTGAAATTTTCAACAAGTAATATATTCTGTAATGTAGAATTGAGTAAATGAAGGATCCTAGCCCCTAAGAAAATTGGAGTTCCTGGGGAGAGACCTAATATAATTTCAATCAACTTATTAAATACTCAAATTGAGGTAAATATGAGAGGTTATCAGGGTGATAACAATGAAGATAATTTTTTTTTCCAGAATGTGACGCCGTGTAATCTGCTACATTTTTAACGACATTTTAGAGGAACCTGCTCTCTCAAATCCAAAGTCGAAAATGCCAAAGATTCTGAGTCTTCTGTCTGAATCTTAGCCACTCTGAAGAAAGCACGTTCCTTCGAAACGTCTATCAGATTATTCAACAACATATCACAGAAAATATGACATTAATTACATCTCTTCGATAGACTATTGAATTTCTCAATTAACTCTTCGTATTTGAAACTCTTAACGACGAAGCTTCGAGAAGATTGAAAATGCGACGTCCAGTGCAATCTGAAGAGAACCACGTCTCTGTCTGTAATACCTTTGAGGGAACGTAGTCATTAATAACCAAAATTACTTACAGATATAAATATGTTATTAATTTCGCAGAAGTTAGTATTAATTTGTGAAACTTGTAAGCAGTGCTCCCCATGAGTGCCATATATTAGATTTCGTTGAAACTACAGGACATTTCTTGCGTGAGGATATTCACTAACGATTTTACTTACACTAAAGAGTTTTAGATAAATTATAGGAAATGCTGAGGTAGAGGCTTTGCGGCGAGCTGATCACTCGTCCAAGGAGTCCTACTGAATCTCTGAGATTTAGTAAACCGAAGTGAAACGGAGAGTTTCTTGGAGTTAGGCCAAGGCCCAAATTGGGGCTGTAGCGCCATAGGAAACAAGAAAATACGAAATGTTGGCCTGTTTATACTTTACATCCAGAACGATGATAAATCATCATCATTTAATGTAGTTAAACTTCGTATTTTCATTCGATAGTCATAAGATTATTTTGTCAATGTACTCATGGTATTCATATGCCTGTAAGTATTTCAAACTCACTTTGCCTCCCCAAGGCATGAAACAATCAGGTTCTCCTGTAAGATTTGGTTGAAAAATTCTGGAGGGATCAGAAGGGAATGCATTTGCCCGTTATAACACATTTTTTTATTGCTAGTGGGGTGGGACTAATTCCCTTGTACTGCAGTCACTTACGGCCTATTGTACCATACACCACGTTCCTCTAAGATCTGCAAGAACTATAAAACCTGAGCTATGAACATCTCGCCTTCGACTATAAACAGAACCAATTTTGTTTTTGTTTTATTTTAACACCAACGCGTTGCATAAGCTCAGTAAGGGGAATAAACGAAAAATAATATTAAAATGAATTGTAAGATGTAAGTAAGTAAGTAAATACTTTCCTTAGGCTCACTTATTTTAAACACAGGCAACACGATGATATATTTATTAAGGGAAATATATATCTATTCATTAAATATATCTCACCTGCAAGATAATAGAAAAGTTTACTATACTCAGCATAAAGCTTTTTGCACACAGAGGCCATGTTGTTGTTAGAAGAGGGTCTGAAACACAAAGGACATTTTCATGAAATTGAATAAATCCTGATATAACGATGAGACAATAGTAGATTCGTTTTAACGGTATGCTTCTGCAAATTGTCATAGCAATGGATATTTCACTACAACAATTCATGTCACGATGCTTTGATCCCCACAATACCACTGGTACTGTGTATCTCACGTCACTATTATCACAATAACACAGCTGGCTCTATCTATCTCAAGATACTGTCATCCCCACAATACCACTGGTACTGTGCAGTCCACACCTCTATTATCACAATACAGCTGGCTCTATCTCACGATACTGTTATCCCAACAAAACCACTCGTACTATGTATCTCACGCCACTATTTTCACAATAACACAGCTGGCTCTGTCTATCTCAAGATACTATCATCCCCACGATACCACTGGTACTGTGCAGCCCACACCACTATTATCACAATAATACAGCAGGCTCTATCTCACGATACTGTTAGCCCATCAAAACCACTGGTACTATGTATCTCACGCCACTATTTTCGCAATAACACAGCTGGCTCTGTCTATCTAACGATACTGTCATTCCCACAATACCACTGGTACTGTGTATCTCACGTCACTATTATCACAATAACACAGCTGGCTCTATCTATCTCAAGATACTGTCATCCCCACAATACCACTGGTACTGTGCAGTCCACACCTCTATTATCACAATACAGCTGGCTCTATCTCACGATACTGTTATCCCAACAAAACCACTCGTACTATGTATCTCACGCCACTATTTTCACAATAACACAGCTGGCTCTGTCTATCTCAAGATACTATCATCCCCACGATACCACTGGTACTGTGCAGCCCACACCACTATTATCACAATAATACAGCAGGCTCTATCTCACGATACTGTTAGCCCATCAAAACCACTGGTACTATGTATCTCACGCCACTATTTTCGCAATAACACAGCTGGCTCTGTCTATCTAACGATACTGTCATTCCCACAATACCACTGGTACTGTGTATCTCACGTCACTATTATCACAATAACACAGCTGGCTCTATCTATCTCAAGATACTGTCATCCCCACAATACCACTGGTACTGTGCAGCCCACACCACTATTATCACAATAATACAGCTGGCTCTATCTCACGATACTGTTATCCCAACAATACCACTGGTACTGTGTATCTCACGCCACTATTATCACAATAATACAGCTGGCTCTATCTCACGATACTATCATCCCCACGATACCACTGATACTGTGTATCTGCCGCTACTCCCGACCCCACAATAGCACTCGTAAATTGCATCTCACGTTATTATTCCACAATACAACTGTCAGTGTGCAACTCACCGCTACTACCATACCCTGAGCACCCCATTCTCTCTAATTCTCAACTCTACTAGCATTTCCACAATACCACTGCCATTGTGCATCTAACGCTACTTTCATCCTCACAGTACATCTGACACTGTGTGTCTCACCGCTTCTACAATCCACACAGTAAGTACCATTGGCATTGTGTGTCTCACTGCTCCCGTATATCCCCGAAGTAGTACTGTCTCTGTGTATCTCAGCGCTAGTATGATCCCCATGTTACCACTGTCACTGTGAATTCCAGCACTGTTGTGACATCCAGAATTCTTTTGATGTCGTAGGACAAGTGCACTATCAGTGCCAATATACACCAGAAATTTTACATATGAGCACTGCTATCTTTGGCACAATATTTTTGGCACTGATTTTCCCAAATACCCTTTGCCGTGTACCATAACGCTACTGCAATGCCCACAATACCGCTGGAACTTTTTGTAAGCTGGTTTACCCTCACCAATTCAATCCTTCCAACAGGTGTAATCCCTCTTGCAGCCTCACATTCACATTCGGAATTTTTTACTCAATTTCTTTACACTTGCGCATGCGTAACGCTAACGCTGTTGATGGCAAATAATGCCGATAGTGATAAAGTTACACATTTTGCCTAACTCGAAGGTGAAGGCCCCTACCAATTAGAATTCTCTCTATTCTGTCACACAACGTTCAATAAAGAAAGGTTTATTGTTTGCATGTCGGTCAATGTTCTTTAATAGCAGTAGATGTGTTACCGTGCATACATTAATATTCCCTCAGAACACCTTCCTCCAGAAGGTCGCTTAAATCCAGTGTCAGAACTTTTATTATTTATTTTGTTAATTTGGAATGGTTCTAATAGTACTACTTGTTACCTATGGGTGATGCATCTGTTTAATTGGCTATAGCTGCACACGGAGAAATGATTAAAGTATAAACCCAGACATATGGTAAAGAAGGCAAAAGCAAAGTTGTCTTTGCGACTTAATTTATTAACCACCATGCCATGAAAACATATTGGGGAGTTGAATTATAGCTCCACCATACTTTACCCTTCGACAGTTGTTGGAGGAGAGTGGCCAGTATCACACCCCGGCCGCATTACTGTACCCATTGAACTGAAGGCGGACTCCGACCTGACTTAACAGGTTCACATCCATTCGGAGGCAGAGTTAAATACCTTAACCCTGACCTTGCGAGACCTAGGAGACGACGAAAAGGGAAGTCTTAAATTTTAGACTTTAAAGTACGGTCGCGAGTCCCAAGGGACTCGGACCCGAGAAGACTGCGTTGGAAGGGTCAGCAGCATATACAAAAGACAGACCCGTCCTCTCGTCAGAGAGGGCGCCCCACAGAAACAAGACCGTAACTGTCAAACAGTTTCTGGTCGTGAGCCCTAGAAGGGGCTTGACACCAAGACTTACTGAGTGACTGACCGTCAGTCGCAATGTGACTTTTACTTAACAAGTTCAGTTTTAAGTGCAGTTCCGTTGAAATGAGTTCTCGTTATAAGAGAGCCACGA